AGGAAGGGAAACAGGAGTGTCATCTCCTCCCAGCAATACATACACCGTTGCTCCAGCTCCTTCAGCTAATATTACTCTGGGTTTGATAGCTTGATGTGGGGTAATTGCCCACACGGATTGGAGAGCTATGGCTTGAGCTTTTTCAGATTGAACTTCAATTTGATGTTGGGTTCATGACATCAATAACACTGTTTCAATTCTAACTCCTCTAGCTAAGGCACAGGTATTCACTGAAGATACACGAAATACAAGAACTCAAGAACCTGATATCAGTAGAGGATGTAAAATAAGAGAAGTTGGGGTACGGAACCATATAGCATTCTCAGGAGTTATTATATGAATCTTCATGTCTAGAATAATAGGTTGTGGTCCCACCACACAAGCTGTTGGTGTAAACAATTCCATTTCCCCGTAGTTAATATTTTGGATGAGATTCATCTAGAAGGATTTCAATCCTAACCATGTTTCGTATTGGAGGTGTTGTAATATGATCATAGGGTGTTTGATTATGAATAATCTGGCTGTTTAACAAAAAGCCCTGCTTTAGTAAGATGTGAACTTGAATGATGTAAAGTTTTAGTACTGGTTAGTTTTTTGAATTGGTCCTTCAACATCCCATTCATTATTTCAATCAAGCCATTAGCTTGGGGATGGTAGGCAATGTGGAATATCCAATCTATCCCTAGCCCTTGAGCTGAATCTTGGACGTTATGTCCACTAAAGTGTGTTCCTTGGTCACTTTGCATTTGATAAGGAGATCCACATTAATGAACGAGTTGTTCTAATGCTTCAGTTGTACTATGTTGATTTGCATATTTGATGGGTTTAGCAAAAAATGGTCCGGACACTGTATGCACAACAGTGAATACATATCTCCACCCCACCTCAATGGGGGCAGGGGGCCCATGTAATCGACTAAACAGGTATTCAAGGCCCACTGACCCCATTTTATCTTTCTCCATGGCCTATATAATGTCCTTAAATGTAGCCATGTACAAATAGCACAATTATGTGCACACATGGCAGAGGGGTTTGATTGTAAACTGTGTCCTGTGTGCGTGCAGTATGAGCTGATTGCTGTCCATAAGCTATATGTGCATTTATAGCTTGAGCAGAGGTCATATCATCTACCTTCTTATTATTTTATGACTCAAGTAAATAATTTTTTTGATGAGTTAAAACATGCCTTGTTTTTAAAGGATACCTTTGTACATATTGCCAAATTTGTGGCATATATCTCCTCCCATATAGGGTATTTTTGAACATGCCAATTCTCTTGGGCTCAGCAGGGCAACCACACTGTGAGGCTTTTATATACAACTCAACTGTCAGTGTATACATAAAGTACTCTAATTTCCATGATGGCAAGAGATGCGGCAAACAATTCAGCCCAGTGACTAGATGCAGGCACATCTCTTTGCCATAATATAATTCCTGGAATTGGAGAGTAGGCAGCTGCCCTCCACTGTCTTTGCCCTGTTGCTGTGTATGTTGCACTTCCATCAGTAAACCAGGCATCTTTTTTGTGCTCTTCTGTGAGCTCGTCATAAGGGGGAGCATCCTCCACAGGAGATGTAGGGATATTTCCATGGGAAAGAGTTTCCCTAGCGTGGGCATATGATTAAATGACACAGTTTCTAGAAGAGTGGTGTGTGGAGTGGTTACATGTGGTTTTCCCAGTAGAAATCGTTGCTGTAAATAATGTTTCCATTTCCAATGTGTGGCTGCCAGAGCTACCCCTACATGGGCCCTAACAATATCATCAGTAACCCACCCATGAATAGGTATGGGTGTGTGCACATTCATGTTGTCTTGGCCTGTCATTCTTTCAGTTTCTTGTAGTGCCCAAACTACAGCTAAAATTTGTTTTTGCATCAGGGTATAATGTACAGCAGAGCCTTGTAATGCCTTGGATCAAAATCCTACAGATTCTTTCTGGTATTTTTTGGCCCAGACATCTGCCACAATCCCAATGAGACTTTATCATCTAGAATTGTTTCTTCTAATTCAAGAGGGTATCTTCACCTAGGAGCATATAATTGAGCATGCTCAGTCAAAGCATTTTTGCAGGCATCAAAGGCTTCTTGGTGTTGTTTGGTCCACTGCCAAACAACCTTCTTCCAGTTAACGTCTGCAGAGGGCGCATTAATATCACCAGATGTGGCATAAAAGTTCTCCAGCACCCTGAAAGTGCCAGGAAGGTCTGTAGCTGTTTTATTGTGGTTGGTATAGGAAATCACTGGACTGTTTGCTGTAGCTTAGTTAGTATTTCTCTAATCTGTCCATGCCAAACTATTCCCAAAAATTGTACAGTAGTACTAGGGACCTGTATGTTCTTTGGATTAATTGCCCAGCCTTGGTCCTGTAAATGTGCTCTCAGCGATTTGGCAGCTACTTTAATTTTCTGTTGTGACTCTGCCATAATGAATAGATCGTCAATATAATGGTAAACAGTAACAGTACCTGGCCATAGTGCTACATCAGCTGCTGTCATGTGGCAGCAAGTGGAGGGACTGTGTTTGTTCATACCTCTGAGGCAATACTTGGAAAGTAAATTGCCTTTTTTGCTTGGTAAAGGCAAGCTGGTTTTGGCTTTCTGAAGCAATGGCTATCGAAAAGAAAGCATTAGCAAGATCTATCACCACCTTCCAGGGTTGTAAATTTTTGCTAATTTTTTCTATAAGAGTAACCATGCCTGGTACAGTAACTGAAGGGGGGAGGGGGCAGATTTTACTAAATTCTCTATAATCTACAGTCATTCTCCAAGTGCCGTCTGGTTTTCAAACAGGCCAAATAGGATTATAAAAAGCAGTCATGGTTTTCTTAATGATTCCCACTCACTGAAGTGCCTGAATGTTTTGAGTAACTTCCTCCTCCCTCCCTGGAATACGACACTGTTTTACAGTTACCACCTTGGCAGGCACAGGCAGCACAAGGGGATACCACTTCAGGAACCCACACAAGGTGGTTATAGATTGAATAGCAAATCCCACTTGCAAAGTCCTAAAGCAGAAACAACCATTTAAAGTTTCAACTGTTCGTCCTGCCAACACAACAATACCCAAAATATATCCTTTAATTGTGGCAGTCAACACTGTCATGGTAAATGGAGTGGAATTTCCTATTGTTAAGGTAACCTTAGCTTGGTGGGCAGGGGTTGGATTTCCCCCCAATCCACAGATCTGTGATGTGGCTTCTTCATTATTAATATTACTATGTAATACAGTAACTTTAGCTCCAGTATCCACCAATGCTAGTGCATGTAAAATCCACCCCATCAGACTGCCACTCTGTAGTTAAAGGAACATAGGGGCATCAACCCCCCTTATGGTAAGACGCTACAGTGGTGGCAATTTTGGGGGACCGCCAAACCTTAATTTCTACTGTTTTGGCATTTACCAGGTAGTGCCTTGCCTTGAGGTCACAGGCAGGGTGGAGGGTGGGTGCAGATTTGGCATTGGGGCTGGGGACAGTCGGCTTTTATGCGTAGGTGTTAACTTTTGTCATTGGTGAAACAGTTCTGATGTTGTGATCTCATTTATTTCTGGTTGTGGGACTTGTGAAAGATCATTCCACATGTGTTTCCTTGTCACCTGTGATGTAAATCCTTTCAGTTTTGTCAGCTTTCCTTTATCCATCACCTGCACAGACGGTCCTGAAGTTACAGCCCCAATTTCCCTCAAGGCATTTGCTAGGGCACCTACATTACCAGTAGCATTTGTGATTGCTGGTATAATCAAGGGGTTTAGTGAGGCAGCTGCTCTTCTCAAAAGCTGCGTTTTGATACTTCTCATTACTGCTACCCCTGTCCGGATTGTATCCCATAGTCAATACATGAGCCAGCCCCATCTGCCGGCCTAAATTAATACCCTCCTCCATCATACACCAGTTTCTGAGGGACGACACTAATTAGACAGGTTCAGCATATGCTCTTAAAACTGCTGCACATGATCATTGATATAACGTAGGTGCAATAATACCTTGCTCATGAGGATCTCTGATATTTTGCAGCTGAGCATACCCTTGTTGTATCTGATCATCACTGGCTATAGGGCTTAATAAATCTTTTTCACCCATTAATAAACAGATAGATGCAGCTCCACCATCCCAATCTCACAAAATCCATGCCAGTATGCCTTCTGCACTCGTTTGATGATAGATCTCTGAAAATGCCCTTAACTCTTTCGGGGTGTAAATACACGTCACCTGTACTCCCCATCTGCTTGTTCCTGCTGCCCCTTCTGTATGTGGGGTCATGCTTCCTACCACCTCCCTGCCTTCTAAATACAACTGAAACTCAACCTTGGAATCCACAGGTTCACTCCAGATATTTCCACCCCATTCCTCCGGATCCCATGAAGGTTTTATGGTGAAAGCATAAACTTGGAAAATCAAACCCTTACTTTTTCCATATATGTCCCTTCATTTATTAGCAATACGTGCTAGCAACTGCTCTACAGTACCTTGCAGCCTTTGGCACCTCTGCTTGAGTAGTAATCACTTCTTGCATGATTGCCTTTGCATCTTGTGTAGTCTTTTCCAATTCTCTCATTTTACTCTGTAAGGCTACAACTTCACGATCAAGAGCTCTAAGACTGGTAACTAATAACCCAATCCAATAACTAACATCCCAATCTCACCACTAACTTGCGAACAGACTCTGATGCCACTTTCCATGGCAACCCATGCACAGCCATTTCAATTGTCTGGGGGTAACCACTGTCCTGGCATCTATTTCAGGTCATGTTCCTGGTGGAGCCCATGTAGCCAGGAAAGGGGCCACAGGGGTCCAGTGCTGAGTACTGGGCCATCCCAGAATACAAGGAGTCACCATTGTGGCCTCCTCAGTCCCTGACTTCTTTGCCAGCCATGGCATGGCTGTTCCTGGATCCTGCTGACTACGCCAAGATGTGTGAGTCGACAACAGGCAGGACACAAGCAGGACCGGAACAACTGCAAAACCGTGGATAAAATGCAAAGAGTATATTTATTTTCATTACCTCACCAACCAGAGGATCCCGAAGCAGCACCGGGGCAGAGGGACACGGGCAGGGATGCCGGCACCACGGAGCTCGGTCTGCGATAGAGGATCCCCGAACTTGCTGTTGGTGCCTGTTTATCAGGGACTCGCGCAGGCGTAGTTTACCACCATGTGCTTTGATCTTTCCTGCAGCAGGGCAGGAATCTCAAGTATGTGTGATAGGGTGCCTCCAAGTCTATCACAGGCCTATGTTGTCTAAACACAGATGTTCTACTTGTCAAATACACAAGGCTAAACAACAATTAGTATGATATATGTGTTTTTCTACACCCCAGCTGCAAGTCACTTGAGCATGTTTACAATCATCCTCAACAACCTTGTGTTATTATCCCACACTGGCTGTTCATATATCACAATAAAAGCATTGTGCCAGCAGGAGCTAGGGAGAAGAGGAAAAAACCTGAGTACTTTTCAAACATGAAAGAAACAAACTGAATTTCAGATTCCAGTATCTTCTCAGAGTTACAGACTGCTGAAAAGCACAATTGAAGTCTACCAGGAAAAGCATAGATCTTTTCTGTTGCTTTCAATGTTCCCAGTTAGGCCCTATTTGATGGAATTCTACTTCTCCAGGTAGCATCTATCACGATATCAAGTTCTTGAGAAATGCAAATCAAGATTTATCTTACCAGTTTGTTCACTGCAAACGATGTTCAACACACACCATGTTTTGTCCCAGGTCCACCTCTCTTCACAGATATTTAGGAAACCCAAACATTTGTAGGTGGAGAGAGCACAGTAAAATAGACTGTAGGCAACAGCCCTGCAAGGTGTAGGCTAACAGGCTGTAGGAGAGGCTCCCACACAGTGGGCACAAACCACAGCTTGATGTTGGGACCTGACAGGAGAGACATCTCCCACCATGCACTTAAGTGCACACCGTGAGCGCCTGTCCATACTGTTATTGCTCAAGTGGTGTCACCGCTACCCGTAGCTGTTTACAGTCCTTCCATGGGTGCGAGGACAAGGTGGGGTGGCTAAGGACACAGAGCTGAGCTTCTAGTGTGTGGGAGCTGGGAGTGAAGCAGGATGGTGAGCGAGAGCTTGGAGGTCAGGGTCAACCTCTGGAGATTTGCTGGAGGACAATGAAGAGAAGGCATCTGGGATTGTGATTAAGGAAAGCAGACATGTTAAGAGAGGGGAAAGGTGGTGGAGTCAAAGGGTTGGCAGGTTGTATTAGAAGCAGTGAGAGAAATGTAGCTGCAGGAAACTCTCCTCTGAAGCCACAGTCTACCAAATGAAAAGGTTTCAGCTGTCTATATTAACTGAAGACGCAACAAGGCTGGAGGGCCCTACGCTGTCATGTATGCATGTGGACTGGCACAGAAGCAGGAGTTGCTTCCACTGATGCCATTTTCCCAGACAGGTGAACTTTGGCAGGCCTTTCAGAAGATACACCAGTATTGCAAAGATGTCTTGATGATCAATCCTGCTTGAAGCGGGATGAGGAAATACCTGTTGAAAGAATACTGCTATGGCAGTCTATGTAAATTAACAGTTGACATGAGGTGTGGCTTATCCAAAGAAGGAAAAGTCCAACAAACAAGAGTAACAACCAAAATGACTTTTGAGAAAGACAATTTTAGTTTATTGTCAAGATACTTTCTCCCCCTTTTTCTCAGAAAGTATTTTAGATAACTTCTAACATGGACTAAGAGTTTCTCGTCACTACAATTTCGCAGACACTGGTGATCATTTGAGACAGAGCATGTTTGTGGCACAGAAATTAATTTTTGAGGTTCTTTGTTCCCAAAATCCAAACTGGGTCTACAAAGGTTGTCACATCACACAAGAAACTCATCCCATGAATTAGATGACCAATATGTTGCACAGTTAGTCCCGGGCTTCAGAGCTGCACTTCAGAAAAAGCTTTTATTTTACACAAGCTTGCTTGCCTAGGGTTGTGCTTAAAAGTCTAGACAAAGTAATCCTGGTGATTTTTTAAACTCAGAGAAATAACCTATCAACTGCTTTTCATGTCCCCACATGCCACAACCTTAACTTCTGACAAATTTTGCAAAATGCTGCATCTGTAAATGGAGAAAAACAGTCTTATGAATGTTCCATGTTGGAATAAATAAAGGGCTACCCTCCTGAGTGTTTGTTACATTGAGGCACGCTTTTTTTCCTGTATATCATATCACAGAGACCTTTCTGCAGAATTTAAGTGATACTGGATAACAGACTTCTACCCTAAAAGAGCAAGTGTCCTGTGTATGGGAGTATGCCAGTCTCATCTGAGATCGCCAGTGGTTTGGCACTACATGTCACACCCATGGCTGGCAAGTGGATATAAGCTACCCCAGAGCCACACTTTGACTCCTCAAACTCTGCTCCCAGCCACATGCTCCCTGGTGCACACATTTTTGTTGTCTTACGATCTCCTTTCTGAAATGTACTTTTGCTTTGTATTAGAACTCTATAAAAAGGTAAATATACTAAAATCATTATCATTTGCTACCTTGTGACTGCTGTACTAGCTCTATAATTCTGGGCTTTGCTTTTTTTTTTAATCCTCTGGCTACACTGCAGCTCTCGGCACTAATTTACAACAATTACCATTTTTCAGGCAGAGCATTACAACATCCCAATGAAGAGAGCAGGATGCGACCATCTTTCAGACTCCACTAGGGCAGCTTCTCAGCTGGGGATGTTGCACTGGGCACCAAATGCTGCTGTCACTGTAATGCTCTTTCATCCGTTTTAGACTGGCCTACAATCCGTTTACTTTTTCCAAGTGAAATTATTTTCTACATCCCTAACACTCTTTTCATACTCGGTTGCAGAAAAATGGACATAGAAATTCCTGCCTTCAGGAGCTTACAATGTATATTTGACTGACTTTTAAAGAAGACATTCATTTACTACCAAGATGTACAAGAACAACATGGGAGTTAAGCAATTCTTAAATACTCTCACTGTGGAAGCATTCTTCTTCAGATGGCAGATAGGACATTTTGTTTCTTGTATTTCTTGTTTGTTGCCAGGTTTTATCTAATTGTTTCTGTAATTTATATATTTATTTTTCAAAAATTAATGTTTACCGTCTAAACACAGAACTTATGGGTTTACTGTTTTTTTCAAGAGTTAGTGAACATGCAGAAACTTCTGCAATCTACATGTCCTGACATATTTTTACTTTTTTCGTTCCTTCAGTAGCTAGCATCTCCATTTTTATACCAAAGTCTGGTGCACAAATACAGCAGTATACTACAGACAGAAACAACTCATGTACATTGGAATTGGTCTTTTTCTCTTCTGTATCTGCCCCAACACATGCATATACACATGCATTTGGATTCACTATTAACAGATGATTTCCTACTAAAAGTTGATGACATTTTGCATTAGTATTGTTGGGAAAAGAATTGATTGGCCCTTAAAAGGTTGGTTGCGCATTATGTGAAAGAACCTAACTGCGAAGTGCTGGATTTGCAACATAAAATGTACTCATTCTGCTGGGGAAGCACTAGCAAGGCTTTTACCCAGTCTTTCAGAATACATGACATGGCGCTCCTTTATCAATCACCTCTGTACTTTGCTCTGTTGAGTGTTTACTAATTCACACAAGTATAGACACAGTCATGACCCAGTACTGAATACCTGCAAGATTTTAATGCTGTACTCTGATTTAAAGCAGATAACACCTCTTTAGAACCAAGAAAATTATCAGTTTTATGATCAGAAGACTTTTCTCGTCTTAACCATGGAAGAAATAGCTTCTGAAAGTTATTCAGAAAATAAAGTGTAAGGTGGAAACTAAAAAAACTAATATAACATACTTTTTACACTATATAACTAATGTAATTTGTAGCTTGGTATTCTTTTTTGTGAGTACTGAAGTTATTTTAAATAAAAGATAAAATGATTCCTCATTGCCACTGTAAATTTTTTTAAAACTTTATTGTTGAAGTCCATCATTTTAATCTCCTCTTATAGAAGCAAACAACACATAATTTTGAACCACTTAAATGTACTATAGCAACAGCTTTGTTGGAGCAGTGAATACTGCTATAAATGGCTTTTCCAGAACTTTGTGGGATCCAAACAATACCTGACAAGATATATTCACTTGCAGTACTATGCAGACTTTTACCCCTGTGTTGCATGCACAAGTGGCCTCTCTTTGATCAAGGTAATGACTGAAAGTTTAGCACGTTACCAGAACACAGGTGTCTGGAGAACTGTAGCCAGTCCATAGGAATCACTGGACACAGGGTTGTTGGTAGAAATCAGGCAGGATGAATCTGAGCTTTAATTTTCCTGATCCCATATTCTTTCCAGATTTCAGGCACGGCTTTTCTGTACAGAACCCTTCCAAGAGTTGTGCTCGAGCCTGTAGCCACCTGCCCACTGTTGCCTGAGGTCTCCTAGAACATTCCTCACTTCAGCCTATTACTACTTTTCTAAGCTCACAAAATTTTGTTCTTCCTCCTCTTTTAAAATATTTTTTTCCACGTTTGACTGACTTTGGCCTTCTATACCCTTTGAATTTTGAAGAAACATGCAGGCTAAATTTTTTCCTTCCCCTTGCTGTGACTATCCCATTGTTCCTTTGCCTTTTTCTCTCTTCTGTACTTGCTAAAGCTTCTTTATCTTCAAGAACCTGCATTAGCCTGCCCGCCTCATACCTTACTGTCATTCTGTGCATTCACTGTACTTCTTCTCAGTAATCTCCCTGCTTCACCTTTCCTGCCATTATTCTGTGCCTTCTTTCAGGCAGAGCCTTATGCATGAACCAATGTCCAGTCCTGGTTCCTCAAAACCCTGTCTCCATCAAATCCACTTCTTTCCCAATTCTTTTAACTGATTTCCAGTAACCTTCCAAATCTCTTCTCACCAAGCTATTGCTTCTTCCGTAACTACTGTTCATTTAAATTAAGATAATAAATTCTCCTCTCTTCAGTATATAAACAGTGAAGGCTTGTAAATGTCACAGAGCCTTATGAATGTATTAACATAACTGAAGGGCTCTAGTTCTATCAGGGACTGGGGCTCCTTACATCTTGCAGCAGCAAGAACAAACTTTGAACATGAATGGAGGAAGCATAGAATGAGCTAATACAGCAAAAAATTTAAGAAAAGGTTGAAATTGAAAACCATTCCAAATAAAAGGAAAACCAGAAATTAATCTCACATCTAGCTTCAATAATAATTCTTGTTTAAGAGGTAAACTGTAAACCAGCTGTACTCCAAACAAGCCCTGTATCATTTATTAAGCATT